TACAGATTTGATTCAAATTTGATACAAATGCAAGTCACAATGAGTTGAAAAATATATACCAGGTATTGTTTTTATTTTTGGCTTTTGTAGCCAACTGCTGGCTGTTTTTGTTTATAAAACTTTTCAACCACTTCAAAGACATGCCTGGTCGCTTATATTCAAACTTGTCAGGCACATCACTCATAATGGGTTACAGAGCTACGGTAGGTTTTTGTCTGATTAAATTCAAAATTGACTAGTGGCCTTGTTATTTTTTTTCCTGTGTTCTTATCCATTTTATGAACATTAATTCACCAATTTTGTTCAAAGTAATACAAAGACAAGACATAATGATATAATATAGATGTTGATTTGTTTTTAGCTCCGCTGTCGACTTTGTCCGTAAATTTATAAATTTGGTAAAAAAAAACATCTTATTTGTGTTAAATTTTATGTATTGCATGTACACATTCATTCAGTGTCTGCACATTTATAATATCCACTTTAAAGATCCGCTGCCAACTTTGTGTGATTGTCCGCCATCCATCGCCTGTGTCAATGTTTTACGTTTTCGACTTCTTCTTGAAAACTACAAGCCTGAATGCTTTGATACTTGGTGGTAGACCTCTCTCAGATTTGTTCATTTCATGTTGATATCTTCAATTCTCTAATTTTGGTAAACATTTTTGTCATTTTTGGTAAAAAGTGATATATTTGACTTCTTGTTAAAAACCAAAAATCCGATTGTTTTGATATTGCATATATAGGTACTACATGTAGACCTTTCTCAGCATTGTTCATTTCGTGATAATATCTTTAATTCTTTAATTTTGGTGAATATTTTTGTCATTTTTGGTAAAAAGTGATATTTTCGACTTATATATATATAGCTATTACATGTGGACCTCTTTCAGATTTGTTAATTTCTTGGTGATATCTTCAATTACTTAATTTTGATGATTATTTTTGTCATTTTTGGTGAAAAGTGATATTTTTGAATTCTTGTTGAAAACAGCAAGTCCTGTTGCTTTGTACTATTACATATTGTTCATTTTCTAATGATATCTTCTGTTCTTTAATTGAAATGTGCATTGCTAACAGCGGAGCTATCTCAGCCGAGAGGCTGCTTGTATATTTCATTGGTCTTTGACCAACTGGGGACAATTGACAACTTTTAAATGTGTCATCAACTGTATATCAGGCATGTCTGTTACTGATGCGCATGGTAAAATGACATTATTTGACTGTGTAAACACTTCGTTATCTTTGCTCAAAGTAGGCACAAATAGAAATTCAGCATTTTGTTTATCTTTGGGCAAATATAAGTGGTCATTTTTGACCAGAAAATAAGTCAGTATGTCATTAAGCATTTCTCAGACATGTCTCGTCAGATTTTGTTCAATGTTGTACAAGACATAAGACATAATTTTGTTTGTTCAAATGTAATTGATGATGTTTAATGTCATATTTTTAGCTCTGCTGTCGACTTTGTCGAGCGGAGCTTATCATATGAGTGATTGTCCGTCGGCTTCCGTTGTTCGTGTCAACTTTTTACTGAATGCTTTGATACTTGATGTATATGTACCTTGGGTAGACCTCTTATAGATTTGTTCATTTCATGATGACATCTTCAATTCTCTAATTTCGGTAAATATATTTGTAATTTTTTGGTAAAAAGTGATATTTTCGACTTCTTGGTAAAAACCGCAAGGCTAATTGCTTTGATATTACATATATAGGTACTACCTGCGAATCTCTCTCAGATTTGTTCATTTCGTGAAGATATCTTCAATTTTCTAATTTTGGTGAATATTTTCGTAATTTTTAGTAAAAAGTGATATTTCGACTTCTCTTAAATAACCACAAGTCCCATTGCTTTGATATTACATATATAGGTACTACATGTGGGCCTCTCTCAGATTTGTCCATTTCATATTTAATTTTGATGAATATTATTGTCATTTTTGGTGAAAAGTGATATTTTCGAATATGTGTTGAAAACAGCAAGTCTTATTGCTTTGATACTTGTACATATTGTTCATTTTCTAATGATATCTTCAGTTTAATTGTAATGTGCATTGCTAACAGTGGAGCTATCTCAGCCGAGAGGCTGCTTGTTTATTTAGACCCATAATAAGGTAGCAGTTTTTTACCTGCTTGAAAATAAACACGTTATGAACATTATCTACTGCTACTATCCTAAAGGACACTATGCAGTAGATGCCATTATTATTCTATTATGCCTAACATTTTTGTCTTTACAGTGTGTTGGAATGACTTATAAATTACTGTAATGTACATCCTAGGGATATAACTTGATTGCAAGGAAATAAACATCACAGATTTGTTTTATCACTATTCTTTGAATTCACG